ACTGAGTCCACTGAAATCACTTTGTCCAATTTCATTGATGGCACACACACGGAATTTATAAGATGAACTAGCTTCAAGGTCAGATATTACCCAGAATGCATCAGTTTCATTGTAGGCCGTGGTCCAATTAGAAGTTATATTGTACTCTTGTGACATTCTAGATCATAAAACAATTAACAATTAGTGTTACTAACTCAAATATAGTTAAACTGTTACAATCTTGCCCACTGAGAAATGAACTTAGTCTATTAAATAATGAATGGGAATTCAGGTTAGATATTTTCACAAGATGGGCATATCTGAGAAAATTCTATCCAACATACATATTTACAAAGTGTCAAACCAATCAGAGATGTGCTTTTCTGGAAAATGTCAAAAATGCAAAAATTTAATGTAAATTCTGGATGCCAGACAATCGATAATAATATGACTAGCTCAGCTCAACAAAAGGGGGCAGCAGAACTAAACAAGTAGCCTGTCGGCTGAGATAGCTCTGCTGTTACCAATGCACATTTCAATTAAAAGACTTAAGATATCATTAGACAAGCAGCCTCTCGACTGAGATAGCTCTGCTGTTAGCAATGCACATTGCAAATTAAAGAACAGAAGATATCATTAGAAAATGAACAATATGTATAGTATCAAAGCAATCAGACTTGCGGTTTTCAAAAATATTGGAAAATATCACTTTTTACCAAAAATGACAAAAATATTCACCAAAATTAGAGACTTAAAGATATCATTACAAAATGAACAAATCTGAGAGAGGTCCACATGTAGTACCTATATATGTAATATCAAAGCAATCAGAATTGACGATATCATCATGAAATGAACAAATCTGAGAGAGGTCCACATGTTGTACTTATATATGTAATATCAAAGCAATCAGAATTGAAGATATCATCATGAAATGAACAAATCTAAGAGAGGTCTACCCAAGGTACATATATACCAAGTATCAAAGCATTCAGACTTGTAGTTTTCAAGAAGAAGTCGAAAAAGTAAAACATTGATACGGACGATGACGGACAGACAATCACTCATATGATAAGCTCCGCTCGACAAAGTCGACAGCGGAGCCAAAAAAAAACATGAATGTCACAGTCCCCATCATTTAATTATAAAATACTCATGTTAAAATAATACATGGAACATCTGCAAACAGTTGAATTAGTATGTACTATGTGGGTACAACTCACCATAAAGTGATATCCCTTAATCTAGTATTGTACTGATAACTGAAAACTTCCACTGACCCATGTCCAAAATCTCAGAGTACACAAGTGCAACCAAACTATGTCTCATACATGTATACATGCTCAAGAAACTGCATTCATAAACCTTGATGTACCTTTAATAACAACTTGACTTCTTTGTTAATTAAGGTCTTTGTATATTACCAGGACCTGGGTATACCTGAACCACTATAATTCCCATCAAAATGTAGCCCTGACCCCCCTCTACAGTTTCCACTGAGATTCGTAATGGTATTATCCATTTATCCACTGAAGCTATATACAGACCATATGTGTCATTGTGCTTGCATGCCAAGTTTTCTAATCATCAGTTGGCCATGTTCAAGCCAATAGGTGTTAAGTCGGTGTAAGTTTCAAAGAGAATCAGTTAAGGTATGTCTGAGAAACAGTTCTGGACAGATGCACACGTATGCACACACTAAACTTGTTTTTATCTGTGTGAACAGGAACTAAGAAACAAGTGAATCATACGAAAATTAAACTTGGGCAGGAATTAAATTCACGCTGATTAATGATATTTAAGAGTAAAAAATGAACAATTATAAGAATTGTTATTGTAACCACAAAAAGAGACAGACATTTTTCTTTTCATATATCTTTCCCTTCATTATCATATCCAGCAAGCTACCAAAACAAGCATTAGTTTAGAATCTCATTTTTTGGTGCTTTGAATTTGTAATACCTTAAATACTGTAAGTCATAGTTCAGTATCTCAGCGCCATTGTTTTCTGGTTCCATCCATTCTACTTGCCATATACCATTAGCATATTCTTTAAAATAAGGAATTTCAGGAATATCAGGAAGTCCAGCTGAAAACAAATCCAAAATGACACTTGACATTTCATTATTTTATAATCAATAGATATGGATCCAAAATGCCACTGGTTATTTCATTATTTTATAATCAATAGATATGGATCCAAAATGGCACTGGTTATTTCATTATTTTGTATTCAATAGATATGGATCCAAAATGGCACTGGTTATTTCATTATTTTATAATCTATAGATATGGATCCAAAATGGCACTGATTATTTCATTATTTTATAAGCAATAGATATGGATCCAAAATGGCACTGGTTATTTTCATTATTTTATAATCAATAGATATGGATCCAAAATGGCACTGGTTATTTCATTATTTTATAATCAATAGATATGGATCCAAAATGGCACTGATTATTTCATTATTTTATAGCAATAGATATGAATCCGAAATGACACTGGTTATTTCATTATTTTATAATCAATAGATATGGATCCAAAATGGCACTGCACTGGTTATTTCATTATTTTATAATCAATAGATATGGATCCAAAATGGCACTGGTTATTTCATTATTTTATAAG